ATTATTTTGGATAAAGGCTTCTTGGTCATGGTGTATAATCCTTTCAATGTGTTATACAGTTGATGTTTAAACTATATGGATTTGAACAGTATGGGTCCACTTATATGTAAATTTTTAAAAATAGATACATTTGAATCTCTATATTGGAGGGTTCCACCTCCATGACTTAGGGTTAGGGGTTGGGGTTAGGGTTAATCTTGGGGTTGGGGTTGGGTTAGGGTTAGGTTTAGGGGTTAGGATTAGGGTTAGGGTTTAGGGTGTAAGGTTAGGGTTAGGTCCACACTGGGCTCCCAGGGACTCTCAGGAGTGGCAAGGAGGAGAACCTCAGGGAGGAGAGGCCTTGCCCCTCAGTGGAGCTTCTCCTATTCCTCCCTCCTCTTTTGCACTGGATGGATTAAGGAAGCCCTTTCTGAAGGGATGTGGCTCTCTCTCCACATGTGCTGCCTTCCTTGCTGTCACATCACACATCAGATCCTGAACACGAAGTTGCTGAGTGTGACTGAGAATGCCCCAGCAAGTCCAAATCCTGTGTCTTGGACTCTAGCATCCAGGATGGGTCCTTGGGCCCTTTGGTAGGAGGTCTGAATCTTGTGGGGGACACTCTTCGTGCAGACGTGTGTTCTAGAGGAGCAGGGCATGCCCCAAATCCTGGCAAGGCTTCCGGGTGGAGTCAGCGGTGAGCAGGGCAAGGCCTCAGAGCCCAGCTGTGGCCCTGCACAGCCCTGTCGGCACCAACAGACACGCAGGTCCTTGCTGTTGTTTGTACTTGAACATCAAATGTTCCCTAGAAACACACTCAGATGCTCTCTGTCCTTTCCCCCAGACACTGTCAACCCCAGCAGGGACCAAATCTGGAAAGTGTTCCAGCTGTTGGTGTTGGTTTTTAATCACAACACCATTCATTGTTTTGTCACCTCTATATACTTATTTAGAAAAAATTGAAAACCAGAGGAATGGGAGGGAAACATTAACATAACTCTAAAAAATCAAACCTGTAGAAAGATGTCAACTTCTCAGTGTGTGTTTTTGTGACCCGTGTGAGGAGATGCTCCTACATAGACTTTTTCCAGTCCAGGTGGCCCAGATGACCTGGGCCCCTACTGATCTCGCCCAGGTGCCTGACCTACAAGCCCTCTTGCACCAGGCTCCTGGGCATCGTGGTGTGACGGAGGCCTTGGGAA